CTGCTGCTGTGCATTTCTAAGACCTGGATACATTACTTGCTTAAATAATGAATATTACCCATGGATGTGTGTGTGTGTGTAGTAATTGTGAAAAAGGTAGGTAGAAAATTCATTTTTTTACTTTTGTTCTTGTTTGTCTTTCACATTTTGTGCTTATAAGCTTAATATGCTTTCAAACATTTTAACCAAGTGTGTTTTTCTTCAGCTTCTGCAATAATCCTAACTAACAGCTGGAGCCCCTGGGGTGAGATTTCAAGTGCCAGCGTAGGAGACAGAGCAACGATGTAATGCCAAGGGCCCCTACCAGCCCCAGGCATCCTTGGAGCGCCAACACATGAAGCTCTCTTTGAGAAACTAAGAGATTTATTGAGCTCTGAGGCGCAGTCACCTTCTGGAAGTATTCCTCCCACCTGCTGACAGGGTAAGGACCGTCTGGAACCAGGATCCTAATTTTTATTCCTCTATGAAGTGCTTGAAGTTGGGCTGTTTGAAGGGCACTGCTGCCATTATGTAACACAGAAACCCTCTGATATCTTTGGGACAGAGCTTACAACACATTCTGAGCCATTATCTTTGAAACTACCTTACCCAGTGTGACATATATTAAGACCTTTTTTTTTCATTTTATTATTTTTAAACAAGTCATAGGCTTTGAAGAGATCTTCCTCTGGAGGACATTCCCAGCCATGTTGGTATAAGGAGTTACTGTGCTTTCCCTAAGAGACAATTCCCATGCAACACAGCATCACGTTGAAGACTGCTGTATTCCCGCAGAGAATTTTTCCTTTTCTAACAGGATCATGAGCTCTTACAAATCACAAGACCAATAAACTCATTAAATGCCAGTTCATTAAGTCTTAAATGGAAAAAAGATTGTCTAAAGACGTCTAAAGACAACGTCTAGAAACATTGTCTAAAGAGCAGAGCCCAACACAACCATACACATTTCTGCCCCCACTGGGAATGGAACCCTTCATTTAGGCTACAGATATTCAAACAATCATAGCAGAAGCAGAACTGGTGAATGTGTCTTTATACACAGTTCCTCATATTTAGAAAATGAGAGGGACTGAAATATAGATGGTCCTACTTGAATGTAGCCTAGCACTGGAAAGGACAGCCACAGGTAAGGACTAATACAGCAAGTTCTCTTCACTGTAGAATACAAACCCTTGAAAAGCTGAGATACACTATCACAGTAAACATAATTAGTTTCTCTCCTCATCTCCTAATGAATGGGGAAACAATCCATTCAGGATCTGGCTCTCTGATCCGTGAGATGCTGCCTACACATCCACCTCACCTCACCCCATAACGCGATTGAATTCCAGTGCCTGTATACAAGGGACATCACTTACACCTTTCTCTTTTCATCTCTCCCTTTTTATTTAGTCTTTAAAAAGACTTTCCTAAAAGTCTGTAAAGGCCACTGAGAATATGTTCACCAGCTAACGAAACACTGCAAGAAGCATCTTCTCATTTGAAACCTTAAGCTTAGCGATATTAAAGATGCATCCACAAGAATTTCCAAGCATTAGTTGAAGAAATGCAACTGATTGAATTATTTCAGACAGTTGGAACACCTGCATTGCAGTTACATTTAAAATTCAGTTCATACACTAAGCCAACTTTGTGAGTCATGAATTTCATTGTTTCTCAAGTACATTTGGAACCAGACAAAGGAACCTCGGTTTAGGATCCTATCTCTTCACTAATTTTGATGACTTCTGTTGATATTTCCAGTTTAGAAAAAAACAACAAAACGAACACACAGAACAAACAAATAAAAACAAACAAAAAAAACCCCATGCCTACTGCTATCACAACTGAATGAAATGAGAAATACAGTGAAGCGGCAGTGAACGGGGGGCTATAAGAATGAAGGGGACAGACAGTATCAGTGACAGCACAAGGTGAAATGGTTTCAAACTAAAAGATCTAGAGTGGATGTAAGGAAGAAGCTGTTGTCAATAAGGTGGTGAGGCACTGCACAGGTTGCACACAGAGGTGGTGATGCCCCATCACTGGAGACACTCAAGGTTAGGGGATGGGGCTGTGAGCACTGATGGAGCTGTGGATGTCCCTGTGCACTGCAGGGGAGTTGGACCCTGAAAGGTCCCTTCCAACTCAACCAATTCTATGATTCCATGAATTCAGAATGAAAATAAATGAGGTAAAAAAAACACAGATGTACAAACGAAAGACAAAACACAGAAAATGATGTAGCTGCAGTGCAATTTTGCACTGAAAACAAGCACCCTAGCTAACAACAACAACAAAAGGACTAAAAACGTCTAAAATATCAAAATGGATTTTAGTTAGGAAAACATTTTAAGTGGGAAAAAAGTAGATTTCTGAATTTGCTGTCAAGGAGTTTTCTCTACAGACCTAACAGGTCCCACTCCTCCAGATCTTGTTTTAAATCCCAGGCGGTAAATAGGAAGGTGGAATACCTTTGTAGCAAGCAAATATTAAAGTTTGTTAAACATACCAGAAACCACCCTAATCTCTGATAATTATAACTGTCCATATCTATATATGGCCACGTCTAAATATTTATACATATAGTATTTTCTTGGGATTTGATCTGGCCCTAGAACTGAGGGCACCTGGAACATTCCATCAGGACACTTCTTGCCTTTTTTCTTTGACCTTTTCATGATTGTGGACCTCAGTTTGGGTGGACAATCGATTGTTGAAAGCAAAAACTGCACATCCAAGCCACCACACAGATTCAGGAGCTCATGGGATGGAACTAACCCACAGCCATAAAAAACAGCTCTCCTTGAAAGTAAATGGTGATCTCTTGACCAGTACCAGGTGTGGTAAGAGAAGACAGAAGAAAACTTTTTAAGGAACCCTTCAGAGGATGAGATGACAATCAAATTGACTCAAGCTTTTCATTCTCACCCATTTTGTAGAAAATCTCTATATCTGCATGATAGAATGGTATCAATTTAAGGACACTGGCCCAGCATATCAGAGATGGTTCAAAAAGAAAGCAAGACTCAACAGAGGGAAAACGTTACCCCAAGCATGATAAAAACTCTCAGCAAAGGAAGAACCATACATAACATTACCCATTCCTGAGCTCTTGTCCTTCAAAACAAACTGTAGAAGAATGTATACTACACACAAATTAAGGTACCACATCTGTCACAGGACTAAGTCCCTTCACTGACCAAAGGAGTGTGTATGCATATACACAAGTTTACTTTGGAATCACTAATTTTATTACCTGGCTTCCTAGAGATTATGAGAAAGTCCTGCAGTCATAAAAAAAGCTGAAGTAACCTCACGTACAAAACCATACTCATTCTTACTAACTCTGGTTTGCTTCACAGAATTTCATTAGGGAGCTGTTCAGTCCAGAAGCTGGAGCAGATCGCTAATTATCCAGCTCAGCGATCACAGTTATGTCCTGAAATGCTAAGAACTGGAAGCTTGCTGTCCTTTTACATTCACCAGGAAGGTCATCCATCTTCTAAAAGCTCAAGAAATACATTCAGATGCATTTATTTTCCTTAATTAAAAATAGTTCACTTCTAAGTAAGAAGATACCTGTTGTCTGTCTCAAGCTGGACGCCAATAATCTTGAAACGCCGAAGATCACTGGCCATTAAAAAAAATCCTTTTGCCTTTCAGCTCACATGATCACATACATGAGTTTGTTCCAGTCTGAAAAATGTGATTTCTTACCCAGAAATACAGCAGCTCTACCAATCTGCTCTCCAATTTCACCTAACATAGGATGCATCTCATCGACATTCATTCCTGAATCAACACTGAGGTTGTCCTAGGCTTAGCAGTAAGGTGGGAGCTCCTAAGGGACTGCTGTAAATAATGCCATCTACCTGCCCAAGGAAGTTAAGTAATAGAATACTCAACATATGAGGGGAAAAAAAAGAAATTATGTCAGGTATTTATAAAGTGAGGTGCTAAATTATTTAGATGAACATTCTCATTCTAAATAATATATCTGAATAACGCTACACTTCAGATTTGTAGTCACTTAAAGTGGCCTCTAAATAAGACCCGAGAGGAAACAATGTGCATTCGTGTGTGACAAAATTAAGAGGAGTGCAATATGCTGACTCTTTCACATTGCAAAGTTACACAGTCAATATGCACGAGCAAGAAACTGTAAATACTGTTAAAAGATACTCTGGTCACATCACAATTTAAGAATTTAAGCAATTCTTACTTAAAAATAAAACCAAAATTTATTTCAATAATGTTTTAAGATACTACACTTGGATAGCAAAGAATATTAGGCATTTGCAAAGCGTTTGTATGGGAGTAACAGAAACCTTTTAATAAGAATCAGATAGACCATTTAAGTAGTAGTGCTGTTTCTCACAGCATTCCTTTGTCAAATGCTTCCTGAGACGTAATGAAAAGCAGTTATGATCAATGATCCAGCCAAGGGCTGAGCTGAAATGCAAGATGGATTTATTATACAGGTTGTATACCATTGTCTATGGTTGCAAAGTGCAAAAAAAAAAAAAACATGTTTTATTCAATGTTCTTACAGTTTTTATAGGAGGCTAGATAGAGACACAAGGCAGATGGGGGCAGTGGGCAAGCATATACTAGTATGATCAATCCCCTGACATGTGTTAGGACTGAGCAATTCAAAGGATAGCACATTATTTGGTCACTAAAGATTCACATCCCAAATAAATCCCTGTCCTGTTCATAAAAAGCCCTATATCTTCATCAAAGTGACTAACGAGTTGGAGTGCCACTATCTTTAAGGCCCACCTGCATGTTTTCTGAACACTGACCATATGAAAATGGAGGCAATCAAAAGTATTGGCTGATACCTCAAGGCTTCGCAGTCCAATTGCATCAACAAAGGAAGCTAGAGAACGCTTAATAGAATCCATTCGGCCACACAGAAACAAAACCAGAGCTCAGAGCCTTCATTGTTAGCAAGTGCTACTCTTGGGAACACATATTTAAATAATGGCACTGTAAATAAGAACAACAATCCTTACCATGGGAAGCAATATGAGAGTGAAGAAGCAGTTCTTCCAACAGATGGCCATCTTTGTCTCTTGACTTTGATCTTTAGTCAAGCTTAGCTTCTAACAGTTAATTAGGGCTGAAGCACACACTCTCTGCAGGTCTTCTTGTCAATGTCTTCATGTCAAGACTCAAACCTCTGCAGTGAAAGAGAAAAATGATTATGAATATATAACAAACATGGAAGAGGTACAAGAAAGAAACAGAAAGAAAGCAGAGACCACAACACTTGAACTGAGTTACATATATTAGAGGTCAGTCATAATTGTCTGGATTGCAGTTATTACAGATCATCTAGGATATTAAATTTGAAGCCAAAGAACATGGCTGTATGATGAGTAGCTTGCATCACAGAAAGTGCTGGAAGAGATTCTCTAACAGCAGCTCTATTGTATCTATAGGGAAGGAATAATGGAACATTTTGAACTGGTCAGAGGGTTTGTATGCTTCATTTCTGCAGTCATGATTTCACAGAATCACAGAATCAAAGAATGGCTTGGGTTGGAAGGGATCTCAAGGATCACGAAGCTCCAACCCCCCACCAATGCAGGGCCACCAACCTCCCCATTTCATAGCAGCCCAGGCTGCCCAGGGCCCCATCTAACCTGGCCTTGAACACCTCCAGGAATGGATGGGGCATCCACAGCCTCTCTGGGCAGCTGTTCCAGCACCTCACCACTCTTCTGTACAGAACTTGATCTTCTTAATTTCAGTAAAGGCTCAAAATCACGACTGAGGTTTTTTAAGAGGCTGTACAACTTGGTGATTTCTTCCCAAAGATCACTGGTCCAGATAACGAAATTCATGCCAAGAGTTGTAAAGAATGTGAGAGCTTTTTGAAGTAAGAGGAATGGGAAGGAATTAATTGTGCTCTTAGGCTTAGACATCTCACCTTGATGCCCTACCATCATGTTTTAAAATGAATTTGCCCATTACCTGAGATGGAACCCCTTCATTTTAACTCTACCTTATAGACCTCTTTCCTCTAAGATGAACTCACTTCGAGGTCTTCTGCCTACAGAAGATTAGACACAATTTGTTTTCTTAGGAAAGTATGGGAGTTTAGCCCTTGGGCATGAGCTGTGCCACACCAGTTTGTCTCAGGGACAGAGAACTATTCTTATATATTTTGTTTACATCTGTAAATGAAAACTTTGAATGCAGAGGTGCTTTTCAAACTCTTATTGTGTGATGCAGGTTTTCTATACACCACCATTCATCACCTATGCAGGCATAAACATGACTGACATCTTCCTAACATGAGAAATGTTTATAGAGGTAAGTAAATGTTTGAGAATGGAAATACAAAAACAAACAGAAAAAAACCTCATAGGTACAGGACATGTAAACAACTACAGAAACAATAAAACACTTAAAAATCAGAATGTGGGAAAAAAAGAGCAAAGGCTGAAAAGAAAACAGACCAAAGACAGAAAGTAAATAAAGGAGTGCCGAAAGCAAATGTGAAAGAACTTTCACAGTCAGTGGGTACTCCATTTTTATATTAATTGCAACATACAGCCAAGATATCAGCATTTAGAAAGTAGAGTCTTTCAATTAAAAAACAGAACAGAAAATTAAGTTCTCTTTAGATTTTTGTCTTCTCTATCCAGACTCTGACTAAATGGAGAACAATGATTCATAAAATTCTCTCTGATCTGCCTTCTTCCATCCTCACTCGATCAGTCACTCTCAGTCCACTCTGGTACTGAATTTAATTACTTAACTGCATTTCTGATGGTTTATCAAATAATGAAGGATTGATAAGATCTCAGCTGAGGAGGAGAATACATGCATGGTGACATTCAGCAGTGAAGAGACGGAAAAAGAAAGTCTCTGCATTAACCGAAGCAACAGACAACCAGGCAGCCACATTAACAGACATTTGGATTTGAAATTACTTCTTGATAATTTGCAACTCCAGCCAGAAAGGCCAGAGAATAGTGTGGAGATTGAGTTTTGTCCTTGGATTTTGCCACTGTAATGAGTCAAAAACAAGACTTAAATGCAACGGAAGAGTGGGAGATGGTTGACTAAATGGATAGAAGGATAACCTGTGGTAAAGTGGTAACCCTTGGAATACACTCTTTCCAATGGTTGAAGATCCAGCTTTACTTTAACCTGGCATTCACTAGGTTAGAAGAGTGGAAAAAGGCTGCCTTCTATTTTTTTCTGTTAGCTTCAAATAAATTTCTGAAGATGTGAGAACATCTGCTAACCATTTTGCTGTGTTTCTTTGACATTTTACAGAGAAAAAGAATCAGCTTCATTTTTTTTTGCCTTCAAGGTAGTCATGGAAACCCACATCAAGAACTGGACTGAGGTCTCTGTGTCATCCACAGAAGCCCAAGCATTTTTTTTGATAATAGCAACCAGGCCTATGAACCTGTGCCCTGGACCTCCAGAGAAATCTGTATATAATGTGCAGCATCTCCTGTTGTGTTTATCACACATAGGTGCAGAGACAGCCCATTAGCAACAGAAGGATAATTAACTCACAAATAAGTACATTCAGCCAATCATTACGAGAAAAACTTTTCAGAAGTAGGGACAATGTCTGTGAAGCATTTCCATCTCCATCCAGTACTGCGAGAATAAATAAAAATATGAATGCAAGGCTTGGAAGGAAAGTCTGAATGATCAAAAAGACTTCATAAAGCCACATCACGTAGTTTCATTTGTAAATTGGAGATGTTAGTGCTTCATGTTGTCGTTTTATCTGCATCTGCTACCGTAATTAAAATCTGTGAAGTCACAATAGCCCACAGCACAAGGGTTGCACACAAGGAAAAAAATATTATCCTTAAAGGGCTTCAGAGAATTATTTCAAGCACAGCTGAAACATGGGGATTACAAAAGACTTGTTGGGGGTCTACTGATGGCTTAGGAAAGTCATACAACATCTGTGAAAGAGATTCATATCTCCACTGCAAAAGTTTTCCATGCCACAGCAAATTCTTCGTGTTACTCTGTGAGGAATAATGGGCCCTTAAGGAGAAGTTTGGAAGAGCTCTGGCAATGTGTTTTGCTGCAAGTGGCCATTTCTTTCTCCTGTTTAAAAAAGGACTCAAGTGTCCCTAGGGCTTACATGGACTACATGTTACAGAAGCCTAAATGCTGGTAAGAAGTGCCATGTGTGCCCACCCAAGTAGGATGCACCTACTCACAGGTAGGTATACAAGGATCACATCTGTAAAGATTGAGTTCTCTCCATACCAAGTAATAGATGAAATTGTTATACAGTAGCTCAAATGAATGCAGGATGAATGAAAGAGGATTTCAGTGACTATATGAAACAGTTATGAGCTGCGACTGAGATCTCACCCAAAAGAAAGAAAAATTAGATCTGCTAGGCTCCTCGTTATGGACCTCCAGGATGCATGCCAGAGGTCTGAAAGGAAAGCAATAAGTTACAAAGCTGACCAACAGTGGCCTTGACCAGAGGTGATGAAATGTGAGTTCTTCACTTAATTAATCTTAATTCAGCAACTGGTTAGGGCTGCCCATCTCATCCTTCTCCTGCACCATATGGGAACAGTACAAGTGCAGAAATCTGAAAGGTTCTGAGATATGCAAAATCAATCACAGTTCTGCAGATTGCTTTGCAGCAGAGTCACACATTCCATGCAGAGTGATCTCAGCACTTCTCAGTGGCATGAGGAGTATTCTTCTATGCAGAATACACCACGGATGGAGAATGATGATGTGTAAAAGAAAGAAGCAACCAAGAATACTCCAGCCATCACCAGTTTGGCCCTCACACCACTCCATCAGTGTTTCTGAGTTCTCCCCACGGAAGGGAACTCCATAGGTGATTTTGGCACGGCTTTTGTCTGATGAACATCATTGGCTTAGGTATGAACAGATGGTTATATAATTGATACATCGTTTATCACCTGTAGGCTGTCAATATAAGGTGTGGAATTCAAAGCATTTTATCATCTCCCTCCAAAATTACCCCAATGTCATCTTCCTAATTTATATTAAAGAACATGGTGTGAACCTCTCTCATGTCAACTGAGACTCACACAAGCAAGAAATAAACACAGATAGAGAAGTAACCCTTCAATGACCTAGGTCTTGTCAGCTAAGTTTAGAAATCTAGAAGACATGTACTCATATATGAGCTCATTGTCAAGTCTCTTTTTATAAAATCAAGGAAGTAGACATAGGAACAAAGCAATTTGTCTGACCTATTTTAGCTGTCTACTTTAAACATTCAACTCCTATCCCTTGAGTATAGAGGAATTCTTAACAGCTAGCTCATATGTTGACATCTACATTGTCAACATCTATATTTGGATAGAATAATTTCACCTCTAGTCTCTTCTCCAGCAATACAAAACCCAAATAGTAATGTTTGAGTTACTACAGAAGATTAAGAACGAATTAGTTTAATATGGTGTCAATAAACTGATGCTGAGATATTTAAGGTAACAGAGAAACTAACGGAAAACTTAATACCAAATAAGTCTCCTAGAGAGCAAGAGCACTAAAATCTCCCACACAAAGTAGACAGCAAATAACATTCTTATAAAGGCAGACAACAAGAACAGCACGTCTTTTCTGTTATTTCTGATAAACCACTTATTATTTTTAGCATTTTAAATATTTTGGGGATGTCTTATTTACATTGAACTTTGTAAATGCACTGAGGTGAATGAACCTGCACAGACTTACAGAACCTGAGACTATAGTTCTATCTTTCCCTTGAACACCAAGAAGACATTTATTCACCTTTCTCCCTCTGTGTGCCAAATGAAAAAGTCCCTGGAGTCCTTGTTTCCTCTCAACATGCCTGTCGTCATTGACAAAACAGGCTTTGTATGGTGATTACATCAGGGGGCTTAATCAAAGAGATGGATTATCAGAAAGCTTTTCCTGCTACAGGGGACAGGCCAGCCCTTCCAGATACACCAGAATATCTTGATGACATTAACCAGAAATGCCACACTTCTGAAAAAGCTGATAAAAAGCAACCTAGTAGGATTGTGCACAAGGAAGGATCCAGCCAGAGCTCTTAACGTGCACTGATGTGTGGTTCTTGGGGGAAAATATTCACTGGTGGCATGTGCAAACAGGTTGTCTCATCTAACCGTACCTGACCACCTTAACAGTAAAAAGCTTTATTATGGTAAA